CAACTGGCAAATTTAACAAAGGAAAATAGGGAGAGAATACAAATAACATGAATAAGAAATGAAACGGGCAACATCACAACAGAACCAACTGAAATCAAAAGAATAATATCAGGATACTATGAAGAACTGTACTTCAACAATTATGAAAATTTAGAAGAAATGAACAGATTTCTAGAAACATACCACTTACCTTAAATAACACAGACTGATGTGAAAAAGTTGAACAGAACCATAACAAAAGAAGAAATCGAACAGGTCATCAAAAACTTACCAACAAAAATAAGTCCCAGCCCAGATAGTTTCACAAGGTAATTCTACCAAATATTCAGAGAAGAACTGAGACCAATCCTACTCAAACATAGAAAAGGATGGAATCCTCCCTAACTCATTTTATGAAGCAAGCATAACCTTGATACTAAAACCAGGCCAATACATCACTCAAAAGGAAAACTACAGATCAATATCCTTCATGAATATAGATGCAAAAATCTTCAACAAAATCCTGGCCAGTAGACTCCAACAACATATCAAGAAAATCATTCATTATGACCAAGTGGGGTTCATAACAGGTATGCAAGGATGGTTCAATATTAGAAAAACAATCGACCTCCTCCATCACATAAATAAAACAAAGGAGAAGAACCACATGATCATATCAATTGATACAGAACAGACATTTGATAAAATCCAACACCCATTCTTGATCAATATTCTCAGCAAAATAGGAATGGAAGGGACATTCCTCAACATAATAAAGGGCATCTATGCAAAACAAAGGGAGTGTAGTGCCTAAGGCACTTGACTGCTAACCAGAAGTTTGGCGGTTCAAACCCACCAGCCACTCCTCGGAAGGAACGTTGGACAACCTACTTCCATAGAGATACCATCTCAGAAACCCAAGGAGGGGTCGTTATGAGTCAGGTCTGACTCGATGGCACATAACAACAACAACAATGCAAAACAGCCAGCTAACATTATCCTTAATGGAGAGAGACTGAAACTATTCCCCTTGCAAACAGGAACCAGACAAGTATGACCTTTATCACCACTTCTATTCAATATTGTATTGGAAGTCCTAGCCAGGGCAATAAGGCAAGAAAGGGAAGTCAAAGTCATCCAAAATGGTAAGGAAGAAGACAAACTATCCCCATTTGCTGATAATATCATCCTAAACCTAGAAAACCCAAGAGACTCAGTCAAAAATCTATTGGAACTAATTGAGAGATTTAGCATTGTGGCAGGACATAAGATCAACAGCCAAAAATCAGGATACCTCTACACCAGCAAAGAGATGGCTGAAAAAGAAATAAGAAAACCAATATCATTTACAATAGCTACACGAAAAATAAAATATCTGGGAATAAATCTTACCAGGGACACAAAAGACCTATACATAGAAAACTATAAAAAAACTGCTTCAAGAAACCATAAGAGATCTACATAAATACAAGAACGTACCATGCTTGTGGATAGGAAGATTGAACACTGTGAAAATGTCAATTCTACCTAAAGGAAACTATACATTCAATGCAATCCCAATCCAGATCTCATCAACATTCTTTAAGGATATGGAAAAACCAATCACTAACTTTATATGGAAGGGAAAGAGACCTGGATAAGCAAAGCACTATTGAAGAAGAACAAAGTAGGAGGTCTCACACTGCTGGATCTCAAAACCTAGTATATAGCCACAGCAGTCATAACTGCCTGGTACTGGTAAAATGACAGACACATAGACCAATGGAATAGAATTGAGAATCCAGAAATAGATCCAATGACCTACAGTCAACTGATCTTTGACAAAGGGCCAAAATCCATGAAAAGGGGGAGAGAATGTTTGTTTAATAAATGGTGCTGGCAAAACTGGAGAT